ATAAATACACTCTTAATCCCTTTCACTTGTTTCACCCATGTCCTCACTCACCTCCCCTCTGGTAACCATCTGTTCCCTATAGTTAAGCGTCTATTTTTTGGGAGCACATGGGTGGCTCAGTCAGTTAAGTGTCTGACTCTTGATTTTGGTTCAGGTCATGAGCTCATGGTTCGTGAGATTGAGCCCCATGTCCACAGAGCCTGCTTGGGGTTCTCTCTCTCCCTCTCTCTGCCCCTCCCTGCACATACACGTGTAAACACGCTCTCCCTCAGAATAAATAAACGAGCATTAAAAAATGAATCTGCTTTTTGTTCGTCTCTTTACTTTTCTTTTGTTCCTTTGGTTTTGTTTCTTAAATTCCACATATGAGTGAAATCATATGGTATTTTTCTTTCTTTGCTTTTAAATATCTGGGTTGCACAAGGCCACTAATAGACAAGACACGTGGAATTTACCTTTAACTCTAAAATGGAAAGGTAATGGAGTAAGTAATTGTAAATTTAGTGTATTGAAATATAATCAGGATTAAATAATTTGATGCATTAAATAACTGGATACACCTAATAAAAAATAAAATCTTCAAAAACTGTTTGCTGCTATTTTGTTATCATAAACAGTATCACTATCACCATTACCATCTTTAATGGAAATGTTATAAGCTTACAGATAAAGAAAAGATAGAACAAGTAATAATCCACCGTGGTCATCCTCGGTTTAAAGATTTCTCAGTGTGACATTTGCTCAGGATTACCTCCGGACAGAAACCCCGAGTAGAGTGATTGCTTATCACTTTCTCTGCCTAAACTTGAACTTTGCAAAATAAAGACGAAGAGGGGACACTCGTTTGAAACTGGTCAACATACGCAGCAGTCTCTTGTCTAGTTTGAAAGTTGGGGACAAAGATTTGATTTTACTTTGGACTCTCCCATGTTCCAGGTGATCCGTATTTCTTTTTTAATATTTTTATGATTCCACAGAGAATGATCTATTCTTGCCATTCTGTTACCAACAAGAAAATCTTTTATACATTGATGAAGCAAAAATAAAGCTACAGAGATTTAAATTAACATTACTTATTTAAGAAAGAAGCTGTGAGGTTACTTAGAGAAAATGGTTATAGAAATAAAAGCCTCACCTACTAGCAAATCAGTAAAGGCCACCTGGAGAGACTTTTCTTCTTTTTAATCTCACCTTTAGAGAGCATCTCTCCTGGTTATATGGGAAGTGTATCAGAAAAGCTTACCCCATGGAGTACTATCAGCTTCAAAATAGAGAAAGCCTCACAAAACTTCCTTAGTTGAAGGAAGTTCTTTAGTAGAAGGACACGCAGGGTAAAACCACTTCTTTCATCATCATGGGACTCCTCACACATCTATCCGACCATTTCATTTCCAGAAACTTTATTCACAAAAGGTATCTATGCCCTGTCCCTCATTTTATTTAGGAAGGCGTCTAGAGCTCTTGAACTATCTGTTCTCTAAGGCTGGTAAGATGTTATTGGTGTGCCTAGTGTTTTAAGAAAGGTAGCATTGTTGAAATCTAAGTAGGCAGGTCTATAGTCCAGATTTTAAGACATTAGTAATTCTTTATTCAATTCATCCACTAACTAAGGCATTAGTTTGAATCTCAGCTTTGACATTTGCTGTGTAATATATGCAATGCCTTGCAGAATCATATTCCTTGTTGGAAAAATAAGGATGATATATTTAGCATATGACACAACTATGGAAAAGTGTATTAGAAAGCACTTGATAATGTACATATAGGAACATATAAAAGTAAGTTGTTTTTATTTTTAGTAACTAGAAGAAAATCCCATCAAATACCGCCAGAGTGCCTTGAAGATGCATGCCCAGAAAACTGGATTGGTTTCCAAAGAAAGTGTTTCTATTTTTCTGATGACATCAAAAATTGGACATTCAGCCAGAGGTTTTGTGTCTCACATGGTGCTGATCTTGTTCAGATTGAAACCCTCCAGGAACTGGTAAGAAAATAGTTCTGTCTAGAATAAAATAATGTGCCCCATCAATACACTACATAATTCTATGTGAGAATGTCTAAGGTGCAGGTTTAGACACTTGCCTAGACATTGATTATTTTAACATAAGGAGAGAAAACCAGCAGGTGCTACATTCTGCAGCGGATCATCTACAGTTACCTTAACATTCATAGCAGGAAAGTGGCCAGAGAGCAAAACAGTGCTTTCTTTGACTAATGAGCAAGAACTGTGCAAACAGAATTAGAAAATTAAACAGGGAAACATAATTTTAAATCTGCATGAAGTTAACGTTGCTTCAAAATAAATCAGGCAGGAGTGATGTCAGAGAAGATGGCAGAGTAGGAAGCTTTGAAATCTGTACCTACACCTAAACAACTATTGGACTGGCAGAAACTCTCAACGAATCTGGAGCTCTGGAGTCTTGCAGCATCCAAGGGATAACTTAATGAAGAGGTTAGTAAATTTCAGTTAATCTCCATGAATTTCAGCCTTCCCACTCAGTGGTTACCATTCCCCATACACCATCATGTCCTGCGGCCATGGGGACTCCTGACCACGTTCCTGGTAAAGCTTGCTGGAGCCAGGATGGTGAATAAGAACATTGTGCTTCAAATATTGTGGTTATGTGGTGTTATTTGTTATTGCTGCTTTTCTTTGCTGAGGGACAGACACAGAGGTGGGCTGCCATTTCTCATTCAACTCCTACCAAATGAAGTGATTTTCAGAACATTTAAAGAAACAGTACTTGTTTTCCCCCCCTTTTGGGAGCTAGACATTTAAGAAAACCTGTGGCAGTTAACTGGCTGACCATAAAAATAACAGAATAGAAATTTCAGTGACCACACACAGTAGGTAATGCACATTTTGCAAAAATTGTTTGGAAAAGTCACAACCAGATGGCTCTGAATGTCAGTAATCGAAATTCAACAATCACTGAAGAAAAGAGATATATTCCCAGAGTTAACACAAGAAAGTATTCATAATGTCCAGGTTTTAACAAAGAAATTACAAAACATATAAAGGAATAGGAAGGCATAGCTTATTCGCAGGAAGAAATATCTGACAGAAACCATCTGTGAAGGAGTCCAGACATTTGAAATATAGTCAAAGGTGTTAAATCTATTGTATTAAATATGTTCAATGAGCTAAGGGAAACCATACACCAAAAAAGTAAAAGAAATCAGGAAAAATGATATGTAAATAAAGTAAGAATATCAATAAAGTGGTAGAAATTATTAAAAGGAACCAAATAGAAATTCTGGACCTGAAAAGTATAATAATTGAAATGAAAAACTCACTAGAGGAGTCAAAAGAATATTTGAACAGGAAGAAGAAAGAGTCAGCAAACTTGAAGATAAGAAAGTTGAAAGTATCCTCTCTAGCAATAGAAAGAAAATTTAAAAATAAAAACAAACATCCTGAAGGAACTGTAGTATACCGCCAAGCAAACCAACATATACATTGTGGGAATCCTAGATGGAAAAGAGAAAAAGAAGTAGAAAAAATATGTAAAGAAATAATGGACAGAAACTTCCCAAAGTTGAGGAAAAAGATGAATATACATGTCCAGATTCTCAACAAACTCCAAGCAGGATAAATTCAAAGAAAAGTACATGAAGACTAAAATTAGAGTCAAGTTATCAAAGCCTAAAGAGAGAAGTTTGAAAGCAGCAAGAGAAGGGACTAGTCATGTACCTAGGATCCTCAATAAAATTAACAGTTGATTTATCCTGAGATAGCATAGAATCCAGAAAACAGTAGAATGACGTATTTTAAATTCTAAAAAAACCCTGCCAATCTAGAATTCTGTATGTGTCCAAACTATCTTTAATAATGGGAAAAAATTTAAGATACTTCTAAAAGAAGAGCAGCTAAGTGAGTTTCTTATCAGTAGACCCATCCTATAAACAATGATAAAGGCTGAAATTAAAGTGCATTAGATAGTAACTCAGAGCCAAAGGAAGAAACAACACTCATAAAAGTAACCACATAGATCAATATAAAAGCCAGAATTAATATACTTTTGGTTTACTTTGTAACTTATCTCCTTTCATATATGATTTAGCAGGTGAATTCATAATACAATAATTATAAATCTATGTTAATGGGTATATAGCATATACATATATAGTCTATGACAATATAATGAAGAGAGGGTTGGAGATGGGGCAAAATGTTCATTTGCCATTATAACCAAGTTCATATTGTAAACTATGTTGTTATAAGTTTAAAATGTTAATGGCAATCCCCAAGGTAACCACTAATAAAATTACTAAAATATATGCAGTAAAAGAAGGAGGGAATAAAAATGGTACTTAAAAAAATCAATTACGGGGCGCCTGGGTGGCGCAGTCGGTTAAGTGTCCGACTTCAGCCAGGTCACGATCTCGCGGTCCGTGAGTTCGAGCCCCGCGTCGGGCTCTGGGCTGATGGCTCAGAGCCTGGAGCCTGTTTCCGATTCTGTGTCTCCCTCTCTCTCTGCCCCTCCCCCGTTCATGCTCTGTCTCTCTCTGTCCCAAAAATAAATAAACGTTGAAAAAAAAAATTAAAAAAAAAATCAATTAAATAAAAATCACAATAGTAGAGGAATTAGAGAATAAAAAACATATAAGACATATAAAAAATAAATAAATGGTAGAACTAAGTCTTTTAATGATAATCACATTAAATGTAAATGGATGAAACTATCTGATTAAAAAGCAGAGACTGACAGTTGGCTAAACAGATAAAAGTTTACAAGAAACAAGGAATATTATATCTTGATAAATATTATATCTTGATAAAAATTTTGTTACAGCAAGGAGATATAACCATTATGAACATATACTACCCACAGCACCAAAATATATGAAGGAACAATTGATAGAATTGAAATGAGAAATAGATAGTTCTATAATAATATTTGAAGACTTCATGATTCCACTTTCAGTAATGGATAGAACAACCAGACAAAGGAACAATGAGGACATACAAGTCTTAAACAGTACTGCAAACCAATTCGACCTAAAAGACCTGCAGAGAACGCCTCCCAACAATAGCAGAGTATGTATTCTTCTCAAGTGTGTGTGGAACATTTTTCTGGATAGTTCATGTGATAGGCCACAAAACAAGTTAGTAAGTTTGAAAAGATTGAAATCATGCAAAGTTCCTTTTGTAAACACAATGGAATGAAACTAGAAATCAACAACAGAAGGAAAATTGGAAAATTCACAAATACATAGAAATTAAACAGCCCACTGTTAAACATTCAGTGAGCAAAAAAGAAATCACAGGGGGAAATTAGAATTGAAACAAATGAAAAGAAAACATGCAAAACATAAGTGTTTTGTAACATACCAAAACCTATGGCATGCAGCAGAAGCAATACTGAGTGGGAAATTTATAACTGTAAATGCATACCTTAAAGAAAAAATAAATAAATACTTGAAGTCAGTATCCCAACTGTACACGTCAAGGAACTAAAAATGGAGAAGTAAAAATAAATGTCATCTTCAAAGAGTAAAGATTTCCCCGAGAAGTCCACTAATCGTAAAGGAAAATTATACATTGGATTATATAGAAATTAATACTTGTAATCATAAAAAGACACTCTACCTGTTGACAAAGATGTGTAACGTGGAAAACTACAATGCTGGTATGAATACGATTTGTTACAATTATAGAATCAGAAAATAATTAGGTGTCATTTGGTAAAATTGACAATAACCGTTACTGTGGCCTAATCATTCATTCCAGGACAGGAGGACAGGTGCCACGAATGTCATGAAGGCATTCATAATAGCTTCAAACTTGAAATAATACTAGTGGAAACCAATAATAGAATAGATAAACAAATTATGGAGTAGTAAGACGAAGTGGCACTATGCTGAATTAAAAGCAAACAAGTTATCAGCAATTTCTCTCAGTTTTAATATTCGTTTGTGCTACTGTAGCATATCTATTCTGTATGTATTATTAAACAATACAAAATTAAAAAGAAGAAAATTGTGAGAGCAGTTGAGAAGATAGCATAGAAGCAACATTTCTTCTGGTAGAGGCCAGATAATGTCGGGTTAATGCATATCATCTTTGTTTTCTGAAAGGGTTTCCTGTTGCGGTATAAAGGCCCCTCTGACCACTGGATTGGGCTCAGCAGAGAAGAAGGCCAACCATGGAAATGGATAAATGGCACTGAATGGACCAGCTGGTGAGTTCTGAAAAATATGGTGGCAATATTTGTACCATACTGTGCACATATCTAGTGTTTAAAGGAGCAAATATTTTGAATTCACTTTGCAGGAAACCAAACACAGAAACCAGTGTGTTCTCTAAAAATTTTTATTTTGCGATTAGTCATAAAGGAACAAAGTGAAAAATTGTAGACTGCAAAGGTTTTGCAACGTCCTCAAACCGCTACAAAATCTATCATAGGTGGCACAGTAGAATGGTGGTGAACTTGACTCCAGCTATGTCATTTACCAGCTCTTTCACTTTGAGCAAACTACACACTATCTTTAAGTCCGTTGCTTACTCCACAACAAAATTAGTCGTACTTGCCCAATTGATTTCACAGGGTTGATATGAGAATCAGAGATTTTGATATTTACGGTGGCACCATTTAACTTTAAATGTCATATAAATGCAAGGTAAATTACTATTTTCGTTGATCGCTGCATCAGTCTTCAACCACTTACATAGGGATTATGAGGGATGGTAATAATGTCTATTATTTATAAGATCATCATTACAATGTTTAGGACAGGTACAGTTAGCATTGTCACATTTAATCTCAACTGTATATCTGTTGGATCTTTATATCACTAGAAGAATTTTGGATAATGTCGGAAGACTTGGATTCAGAGAGCCTCACTAAATGTTTTCTTATCTGAAGATATGAGGAGGTTTTAAAAAGTTGCTTTATGATGATAAAATAGTCAGCATTGGAAAT